ATAAATGACCCCATTTATATATAATTATTTCTTGCATTGTGCTTGTAATTTGTCACATTCTACTGTATCATAGTTATTTACTTCTGTCATCCCCACCTGTGCAATGTAAATACCCCACCACTACCAGGCTATGATATTTATTTTGTTACCATGGTGCTCAGTACAGAGCAGGAGACAGAGGACACTGGTGATAAATGTTTGTGGAGTGAATGAAGGCTTTTGATGACATGGGGCATGTAATTATTCTATAAAAATATATGTCTTTTGACTTCTGGAGAAAAGAGAGGAAAACATTCCAAACAACGGATCATAGTTCCATTTGAGGACAACGACCTTTATTTATGTAACATGTCACCCGATAAATAACATATGTGGAAAGTTGCAGAAATTAAGATTCAATTTATAGAATTAGACTTGTTTACACATGAATACTGTGCTTAACATACATGCCTATCCTCATGCAGGAAAAAGATAGGAAGAAGGTGAACACCAAATGATAACCCTGACTCTTCTTTATTTCCTGACTTTCAAGCTTTATTCTTATTGCTAGAAATAATTACTGTTACCAGTTTGATATCAATAAGCCAAAAATATTTGCTGAACATCCATTGTCTTAGCTTGAACTCTCCCCAGTGCAGACCCTGAGACAAGGACCAGATGGAGTGCAAATAGTTTACTTGGGTGGGTTGGGGTGATCCAAGGAAGCACAGGAATGGAAGAAATACCCAACTATTTTTGTATTAACCATGGTGTTAGCACTGTGGGCAACTGAGGAACAACCATGAGGACATACCTCAGGCTGGAGGCATTTGGCCACCGTGATTGTATGCTTAGAAAACCGTAGAAAATCAACTGAATATTAGTTCTAACTGTGAGGTCAGATAAAAGATGAATTTATAGAAATCAATAGGTTTCTTATACACTAGCAGTAATCCTCTATAAACATAATGGAAAAAATGTGCTCACAATTCTCAACAATAAATATAAAATTATGTAAGTAAATCTGCCAAGCAATATACTTGGCCTGTATGGAGGAAAGGATTAAAGACATAAAATGATGTTTGAATACATGTCAGAACAAGAAATGTACAACTAATGCCAGGTTTGTGAAAAAATATATACATGTGTTACATATGCATTTAACAAGGATGTATCTCGACTTGTAACAATCAGTCTTGAACGAGATTGATAAAGATGAGTGATGGGGAGGGGCTATAGGCCGGGTTGGCTGGTGGAGGGGTGATTGGTAGTGGAAAGTATGGATGAAGAAGTAGTTGGTTTACCGCCACTCGTGTCAGCTCTTGTAGGCGGCGCTGGAGGAACCAGGCCAATTGGTCGACTGGCGTCCGGTGGAGGTCCTGGTCCGAGGTCTGGAAGACACGAGGGGACGGCGTGACCAAGGCCCTGAGGCAGGCCGGCGCACAAGACTCCCCTCCCGGGTTTCGGCACCAAATGTAAGGTTTTTCGGCGGTGGCGAAAAGAAAAGAGACACAGAAAGAGAAAGAGTGGGGGCCAAACCACGTAGCTTTATTATACACTCGTGGACGAGGTTCTGGGGCCCCAAGAGCGGGGGGCCCCAGAAGTCGCCTCAATTAATCACTTTTGATGTCTTTGTAAACTTTTGAGTTAGAGGAACCCCTTCCAGAATTGTTAATCAAAGGAAAGTAACTGGATATTTGTGCTAAACTTCTAATTGCTCAGAGGGAACAGATGAGGGGGAGCAGCCAAGATGACCAACTAGAGACATCGCTTGTCAGATCATCCCACTGGAAGGTAGAATATTGCACTCAGGAGAGCAAAACGGAGTTGCAGCCCAGGTGTGGATTACAGGGGGAGACAACAGAGAAGCCTGAGGACCCAACACAAAAAACGGTGAAGCTGAGAAAGAAGATAGAAGACAGTGGCTGGACCAAAGCCAGCGAGGCTCAGAGCCCAGTGAAAGGGAACTACTCGGTGATTCAGAAGGCTTTGGGGGATGATGCAATGAAGGAAGCACAAATAAGAGTGCAGCACAAATGCTTCAAAGAGGGTCGAGAATCTGTTGAAAGTGATCCACGTTCTGGAAGGCCTGCAACAAGCAGAACACCTGAGAATGTCGCATGTGTACAGGTTAGGTTAAGAGATGCTGGAAGAACTGCGGGAGGTCCCAAGGTGCCTACTTTGAAGGGAACTGAGGCGTCATTGTCCTATATACAATGTTTCTTGTATCTTGTATCATCTTCAATAAATGTCCTTATTTTTCCTGTCATATGGCTGGATACCTTCTGGACAGATCTCTTATGTTCCCATAGGGTAGTGAAATCTGTTACATATACCCAAGCTATTTACAAATGCAAACCGCATCTATTTCAACATATCTTCTATTTATTCCGTAACAATCCAATAATCCATTTTAAGGGTAAACTATACATACCCATCCTTGTATATAATTTAAATCCTTTTAGCTGAAGGAAAATTCTTTTTTGCCTCAAGACCTCACTTAGATCATCTGAGTACTGAACTTTATGCAAACACAATAGCTACTGTGGACAGTTAATGTTTTAAATAAATAGGTCATCTTTACAAATGTCAAAGTGTTATTAATCATTTTGAGGCTAGGAACAATGTAAGAAAAGGTGATTGCTGTTAAGAATGTTTGAGTTGTAGGAGATCTCTGCTACCATAGAATTTACCATTTTTTATGGTCCCCAGAAGCTAAAACCTTTCCTGTATTTGTGGATTTCCCTAATCATAAAAGCTGAAAATTCAAATCATCCTGCATTCTTTGTAATTAGGGCCTGGACATAAGACCTATGCCCTGCTAGTCACACCTGATGGTACTGGATTTTCGTTGGCAAGAAGATGACATGAACAGGTGGAGAACAGAAAGAACGGTCTTGCTGTAATATTCCTGCAAGCTGAAGTTCCCAGCTCAACTTTGACAAGGGTTCTGGTAGCTGATGTTCCAGTTCTTGGATACTGGCTGTGCTTTTTCCTACCTGACCACATTTTTCTGGCTGTGTAAGTCTACCCCAAGTTTTCTACCTCTCTTGGAGCATCTGCAAACTATCCAATCTGCTTTTAATAAATTCTTTTTCTGTAACTTGCAGCAATAAACTCTGACTAATAAAAAAAAAAAAGATGAGTGACGGGGAACTTGCCATTTGTCCCATATTCTTTTGTACTGTTTAAATTTTTAAAGAGCATGAATTTATTTATGACTGGTATAAAAATCCTGAAAAAAGAATAAATGTGATTTATATAAAATTCAGAATTTTCTCTGTGGATTATGTTAAACGTGTTTTCTGCTATTCCATTCTGTTACTGCTGCAATTCTGTCATGCACCAAAAGATTAAAAGTACATTTCAGTCCATCATTGCAGCTTTAATATTAGCTATCATGAATTTCAAATTGGTTTGGGGGACAAGTTGGAATCCCCAGGAAGCAGACACTTCAGGAGGTTTATCAAGGCATGCCCTAGGGTTTAACACTTGTGGAAAGGACGAGAAGGAAGCAGGATTGGACACTGGGAAAAATGAAACTGGAGGCAGTCTCAGTGGAGGTCTCAGCTGAACCTACAGGAGTTCTGAAGATGGGATGATTCATTAAAGGCAGCCCTGGTGGGAGAAAGAAATGTGCATCTTTGTAGTTCTATCCTGAAAAGAGGGCATTACCTTGGGGAAAAAAACAATCTTGAGCAATACCTCTGCACTTTCACCAGTTCTTCCTTCATTTGCATCACCTGCCTGGCCTGAAGGTGGCCCCTCTACATGGCAGTACGAGCTCTCTACTGCAGCTCTGCCAGTCGGGGTAAAGGGAGATCCACTGCATGTGGGGAGAAGATTTATTGCACACAACTGAGCAGAAAATACATAGATTTTGCTAAGACATCTACTAGCTACTTTTATTGGTGAAAAATATGAAATATGGTATTTTATTTTTATTTCAGAATATTACAGGGGTACAAATGTTTTGCTTACATAAATTGCTTTTGTACCATTGAGTCAAGGGTTCCCATCACCTAGATAATGTGCATTGCACCTGTTAGGTGTGAATTTACCATCTTCTCTCCCCTCCCACCTGCTTGATTTCCAATGAATGGTATTTCCATATGTGCACATAAGTATTGATCATTTAGTTCCAATTTAGTATTGAGTACCTATGGTGTTTTTTCCATTCTTGTGATACCTCACTTAGAAGAATGGTCTCCAGTTCCATTCATGTTAATATAAAAGGTATTGGTTCACCCTTTTTATGGCTGAATAGTACTCCATGGTATACATATACTACATTTTATTAAACCACTCATGTATTGATGGACACTTGGTTACTGTGAAAGATAATCAATTGTGTTCAACAAAATTTTCTTGTAATTATATTCATGAAAACTCCATGACTTTGGTTTTACTCTTTTTTTTCCTAATGACTACAAAATGGTTAGCTAATTTGCCTAAGACTAAAAAGACTGTTCTAGAGAAAACTTGGCAGTGATCAATCTCAGTTGACTTCTGTTGGAAGATTGACTAATGTGTGCTGTCTGCCCGACAAGTATAGGCAAAATACAATTACCCAGGACTCAAATACAAAACCTTTTTAAAAAGAGAGCAAAAGTCACCTTCAGTTTTCAGTGCCAATAGAACAGAGGTTTATTTTGGTACATGGAAATAACAAGGTACAAAAAAACTTTGCAAAGGACTATAAGGGAGAGACTTCATTGGACTTCACTGCCAGAGGGGTTAAAATCTGTGATCCTACAGGTGATGGAGGCAATCTTCAAATTGCTTAAGCATGATGAATGGATGTCCTGAAGACAAAGGGAGAAATGTTTGGGGGAAATTTGTTAGTTTATTATGATATTTTCAATGAATTCATTTGAAAGGAGTTTGGGCAGAAGTTAGAATGTGGACACTGAATTACTAGGAATAAGATTTGCTTATGGGACTCAGACCAATTCTCTAGTGTTGCACATTTTTAAAGAGAAGGTCTTCATCTGTGTGGAAGGCGGCAATAACGAAGTGGTGTGTTCAAAGCAGGGATTCAGCAGCAAGAGGAGGCGCAGCACAGGGGGCGGGGGCAGGTGGAGATGACGCAGGTTGGGCGATAGCAAGAGGTGTGGCAGGAGACTTGGCCACAGACTGGACGCAGGCAGCAGCAGGGGCGGCAGCAAGGCTGGCGGCAGGTGAGCTGGCAGCAGGTGGGCTGGCAGCAGGTGGGCTGGCAGCAGGTGGGCTGGCAGCACTGGGGCTGGCAGCAGTTGGACACACAGCAGCTGGGGCGGCAGCAGCTGGAGATGCAGCAGCTGGGGCGGCAGCAGGTGGGCTGGCAGCACTGGGGCCTGCAGCAGCTGGACACACAGCAGCTGGGGCGGCAGCAGCTGGAGATGCAGCAGCTGGGGCGGCAGCAGGTGGGCTGGCAGCACACAGACTGGCAACACGTGGGCCTGCAGCAGCTGGGGCGGCAGCAGGTGGTCCTGCAGCAGGTGGTCTGGCAACAGCTGGGTTGGCAGCAGGTCTCCTGGCCACAGCCCTGGTCAGAGCAGACGGAGCCACAACAGGAATTGACCATGGTGTTGGAGGATGGAGGTTCTGGGTGGGTTTCCAGAAGAATGAATTTCCTGAGTTTGATCTCAGCTTGCTCTCTCTTGCCTTTTATACCCTGTGGAGGGCTCCTATGACATGTGAAGAGTCCTCTTGTTTAGACAGTACTAATAGGAAATCAGTTAGTTTTAGTAAATTAGATAATTGTGTTTATCTGATAAATATTTCTATATATAGAAAAGGCATCACTTCCTTTTCCTGATCTATTATGAGCTGTCCAGTTTGGTTAAGCCACATGAATCAGCTCCCATTCATCTTCCTTGGTTTAGTGTATCTTCTAAAGTAGACCTATTACATGACATTGTTTCATTGGACTTCAGAGGTGTTAATTCTTCATTTACATATCTAATCTCAGGATACTATATAGAGAATAGATTTTATGATGCCTAAATCTCCTCTGCTGTCAAAGAGGTTAAAAGTAAGTCATATGGAATGCTGGTAGAGAAATAGAGTGACAGACCTATCTTCTGGTGGTAGAGGGAGCAGACTTTTGTGTAATGAGGAATACTGTGATTCCTTTGGATTTTCCGGATGGCCAGTGAGATGCGAAAGATCCCAACAAAGTTCCTATCTGTTTTGTTTTTATCGAATCCATTCAATTTGAATCAGTCATAATGCAATGATTCATTACTTTTAAATAGTAAAGACACATTGGCATGATGCGTCCTTTTAGAATAAAATTATTGAATTATTATTGGCATGTTCTTCAGAGATAGAGTATCATAAGGGAGCATTTTGACCTGTATTTTTGTTAAGTACACCTACCCAATGAATATGCATAACTGAAGTGTTATTAAAAGTATATTTTCTCATTTTCATAGCTATTGTCTCTCAACAATGTATGTTGGAGATATTTTGCTTAATATCCCAAGGAGAAATAAAGGGTTAAACTTTACTCTCTGTCCAACAGACACTTAAACAAGACAGACAAGACAGGGATATAGGAAAGAGTTTGGCAACTATTTAGAGTATGGTGTGATTAGTGAACAAAATAACAATTATGTATTTAAATCTGTACACTTGCCATGAAAGATGAGGTAATAGTAACAGTTACAACTTATTGAATGCCAACTGTTCGTCATGAATTTTTCTAAGTTCTCTATAACTGTTACCTTGCTTATACTTTACAAGGACTCTGTGAGGTAGACAACAATTTTTCTGAAATCTTTACACATGAGGTACTTGGGGCTTACATAGACTGAAGTCACACAGTCAAAAGGGGAGGTGATTCTCTCCCAGAATGTTCTGGAAGGTGTGAAAAATGATCATCCCATGCCATTTATCATGCCATTCCATTTGCCTAGAATATTGTTTTCTCCTTTGTCAGCTCAGCAAACTCTTGCTCATATGTAAATGTCAGTCCAGATACCAACTCATTTCTAATATCTTTCTTGACATCCACTACATTCAAAATGAATCTTTCCCTCTCCTTTGCTCCAAGAAATGCCTCCGACCCAGGGTATCATACTTTGCCATAATTGTTTTATATCTCTTTTTTCCACTCCTTTTGTAAACCCCATGAAGTCAGAGACTATGATTTATTCATGTTTATGTATATGGTGTCCAGCAAATGCCCTGAGCATAGGTCAGTTGAATGAGTGAATGTGGGATTTACTGAAAACAGAGGGCATTTACTCACCCTTTAACATACTGTCGATATCCCTAGATGGATAGCGAAGAAAAGAAAGAGCATTCTGACAATGGGGATGTGGTTGAATGAGGATACGTTTTTGATGCGATAAATGACTGGTCTAGATGGCATGTGTAGGAGAGTAAGGAAAGATAATACTCAATGGGTAGAATGAGGGGAATTTAAGGATATTCTTGAATTATATAAAGATCCTGATATCATATCATCATACATTAGAAAGAAAGGTATGAGCAAACATCTTGCAAATATTATTTGGCTGGTGGGGGGCAATGACAGGAAGCAGGAAAAATGTTTAGGTGGTGGCTGTAGTCTGGGGTGAAAGGTGGATGCTTGTCTAGGGTGGTGCCAGTGAGTATAGAAAGGAAGGTATTGAAGTAATAAACATTTCAGAGAAGTTCATGGGAGCCAGTTACAACATGCACAATAGACGTAATAAGGGACCTCATCATTAAAGATGATTCTTACTTTAATGCTTTTTAATTTTATACAAGTACACACACATTTTACAATTAAATTTCTCCTGAGAGTTAAAAGACAATTATTTGTCATTTAAAAGATACATTAAAAAGAAACCATCATGAACAAAGTAAAAACACAAATGACTAAATAAAAAAATACTCAATTTATATCACAAAGTATGAATGGTATATAAAGGACTTCTAAAAGTAGATTAGAAAAGAAACTAATATCCTAATAGGAAAATAAAATGAAAATATTTCCTCAACATGCAAAGATACCCAATCCCATGCATAATAAAAGAAATGAAATTACCTGGGATAATACTTCTGACCTGTTACATTGTCAAAAATTCAAAATTTGACAACATTCTCTGATAGTGAGATGATGTAGAAACAGACATGCTCACACTCGTGAGGTTGTGGCAATAACTATTAATAGCAGCATTATTCTTTGACCCAGTTGTCCCAACTCTATAAATTACCCCAAAGATACTTAGGTAAAAATATAAAAAGATGTTGCACAGGATTATTCATAGTGGGCCTATTTGTAAAAACAAAGCAAAATATCAACAGAAAAACCTGGACACACCCCAAGTGTCCTTTAACAGGATGCTGGTGAATAAACTATGGTGCATCCCATAATGGAGTATCTCAGCTGTAGAGGGGAAGAAGGAGCATCTCTGTACGCTATCGTGAAGTAACCTCCAGAATTCATTGTTAAGAGATGATAAAGCAGGAGGAGAAAAATGTGTATCGTGTTCAATATTTCTAAAAAACCCACGATACAAATATAGAAAGTATATTTGCTCACATTTTGAAAATGATGGAAGAAGATGTGAAAACAGGAAAGAGGGACTTCTGCTTCCAGCCAAGATGGAGAAACAGGAACTTGGTTCACCCTCCTGCCTGAAATAACTAAAAAAATCCAGACAATAAATGAAATAATGGTTTTTAGACATTTGCTGCCAGGCAGGACAGGGTACTTGTGTCTTAGAGAGAGGAAACAAATGAGGTGATGATTAGGGTTGCTTTGGTTTGTTTCTTGAGGAGTGTTTATAGGGTGCAGTGTAGGGAGGGAGAACCAAGTGGAGTCTGGTCATCATCCTGACTGAGGGGGTGGAGCTGGATGGGGGAGTGAGAGAGCCTGAACTCACTGGGTGGAGAACTAGACAGGAGAGTTGCACAGACAGTCCCAGGAACTGCAGAAGGTCTGCCTTGAGTCCTCACTAGGTACTAATTAGTGCCTTAGTGTGAAGAAATTACCCAAGACAGGGGAAGATCCCTCTACCCCATAAAAGGCAGAAGAAACAACCCTTGAATCTGACATAGGATTCCAAATAGTTCATATTCCCTTGAGCCAGAGTGAAAAACCTTGAAATTCACGGGTCATTGGTAGAATATTCAGGAGAGCATTGTCTTAGAAATAGGACAAATTTTGCCCTAGAGTAAACATCGTTCTGGTCCCACCTCACAAGTTAGAGTACACATTGCATGATTCCATTTATAAAAAATTCTAAAAATTGCAAACAAATTTATAGTAACAGCATATTGGTAGTTGCCTGGGAGTGGGGAGTGGGAAGGAATTGCAAAGGGGGTGAAGGACGTTCATTATCTTGTGATAGCGTTGGTTTCATGAGTACATACATATAGCAAAGCATCAAATTGTGCACTTTAATTATATGCAGTTTATTATATGCCAATTGTACCTTAATGAAGCAGAAAAAAAAGAATTTGAACCATAATTTGTTTTAGAAAAGTTTATCCATGGAGGTGGAGGGAATGCAGTAGAGAAGACAGAGACAGGTGCTAGATTTCTCTGAATATACCTTATTCTGTAGTTTTGACTTTGGGCCCATGTGAGTATTTTACATAACTATAAAACAAAATTAAATCTTAAAAATCTCTCAAAATCATTAAAATCACCACCATAACAATGGAACCTAACTGTATTTCCAGGCATAACTTCAGATAATGTCATTATTCCAAGACCAAAAAGTTTCGTCCAAAACCTCGTAAACAGTCTAAGTTTGTTTTCAGTAGCCATGCTGTTGTTGTTAGTGCTGGCAAAGTTATTCCAAGATTGTTGTACAAACATTGCGTAATAAAGAAAATGAGTAATTACATTGAAGAACTGTTATTTTTTGGCATGGGAGAAAGGAGATTTATAAGTAAGTTATATGAGGTTAAGTAAAAACCCTGGAGTTCTCACTAGAAAATCTGATGTAGTTTATCTTTTAAATAAATACTTTTTAGCTGTAAACACCGAAAAAGCAGAGAGACAATAAATGACTTAGTAGTAATGAACATTCTTACATTTCATTTTATAGTCTCAAATACCATTTTTCACTAAGAGGAACTGGAGTTCCTTGGAGAAATGGCAGATTATAAGCTTAGGGAAGGAAATGTACAAAGGTTGTCTGGAATATCTAGTTATATTGAAAAGCAAGGAAACTTTTAGAGACTATTAGATTCACATCAAGAAGACTCAAAGGCTAACTTGAAGATGCTTATTTGAGTGTCAACAGAGATATAATTGGAATGGACTGATAAGTATATTGAAATCCATGAGTTCATATTGACAGGAACTTTTAAAAGGAAAAAAACAAAACAAAACATTTTGTTCACCTTTGGATGATGCAAACTGGTAAACAAAGGGAAAGGACCAAGCATGTGTTTTTGCTTTTCCTGTAATACTATTCCCAGGGTAAAATGAAAGAAAATGAAGAATATTTGTGGTGTACACACATGGATAGATATGAGGTGAGGGGTGACCAAAACTACCATTACTCATTGCTAAATTGTCACTTAATTAGCCAGAAGACTAACAAGGAAATGACCTTGTGTCCCAGAGGGTCATCA